TTTTGGAGACGGAGTCTCGCTCTTATTGCCCAGGCTGGAGTACAATGGCACAATCTTGGCTCTCCACAACCTCCACCTCCCGAGTAGCTGGGACTACAGGCATGTGTCACCACGCATGACTAATCTTCTATTTTTAGTAGAAATGGGGTTTCTCTTTGTGGTCAGGCTGGTCTCGAACTCTCGACCTCAGGTGATCTGCCCACCTGGGCCTCCCAAAGTGCTGGGATTATAGGCATAAGCCACCTCGCCTGGCTACTGCCCAGCTTTTAAAGATATTTCTAGAAGCAGTTTTACCCTTCTCTGCTTTTATGTGAATGACATTGAATATGCTTCCAGCATGAGCCTTTTTGGCAGGAGGCCCAGCCAAGACTTAACTGTGGCTTCTGCTCCATCTGGGGACTGTTGGGGCTCAATGAGTTACACAATCCTAGTTATTCTCAAAATTGAGTCATGGCTGTGCTCCCCAGTGGCACAGCTCTGAAAACAAATTGGGACGATGGGAGGCGAGCCTGCTAGATTAGAGGTGCAGTGCATTGGATCATCCCTCCTACTTTCCGGTTCACCACATATGGTCAGTGTCCTAGGTTTTAGAGTAAGGGCCAAAGCAACAGCATGTGAGGATTTCACCTTACTGGTGAAGACACACCTGTTCTCAGAGTAGGAGACAGCTTCCAGGAATATCAGCAAAAACAAACCACAGGAAAAGACAGATAAATTTAACTACATAAAAAGTCAACCTGAGACTAGCGAGCAATACAGTCAGGATGGTTAAAGGTGACCCCAGGAAATCAAAGGGCAAGACGTCTGCTTATGCCTTCTTTGTGCAGACGTGCAGAGAAGAATATAAGAAGAAATGCCCAGAGGTCCCTGTCAGTTTTGCAGAATTTTCCAAGAAATGCTCTGAGAGGTGGAAGACAATGTCCGGGAAAGAGAAACCTAAATTTGATGACATGGCAAAGGCGGATAAAGTGCGCTGTGATCAGGAAATGGAGGATTATGGACCAGCCAAGGGAGGCAAGAAGAAGGATCCTAATACCCCCAAAAGGCCACTGTCTGGATTCTTCCTGTTCTATTCAGATCAAGTCCGCAAACCCTGGCATCTCTATTGGAGACGTGGCAAAAAAGCTGGGTGAGAGGAGGAATAAGCTAAATGACAGTGGCAAAGCTGAAGGAGAAGCACAAGAAGGGCGTTGCTGACAGTAAGTCGAAAGGAGAGTTAGATGATGGCATAAAGTGTCCTGCTAAAGTTGCCTGGAAAAAGGTGGAAGAGGAAGATGAAGACGAGGAGGAGGATGAATAAAGAAACTGTTTATCTGTTAAAAAGAAAGTCAACCTTATTTTAATTTTAATTAAAAAAAATTTTTTTGGCCGGGCGCGGTGGCTCAAGCCTGTAATCCCAGCACTTTGGGAGGCCGAGGCGGGTGGATCACGAGGTCAAGAGATCGAGACCATCCTGGTCAACATGGTGAAACCCCGTCTCTACTA